CAGGCAATCCACTCACCTCAGCCTCCCAAGGCACAGGATTACAGGCTGAGCCACCAAGCCCGGCAAAAGTGCATATTTTTGTAGTGCTTTACAGTTCAACAAGTGACTTTACACATACTCCGCTTGCTCCCTTTAGATCGTAGTTGTTTATTTTATCCCCTTCATCAGAAACTTCAAAAACGATTAGCAAGAGACACTTAAATCAGTTTAAGCACTTGTAAGCAATGATACAGCGTTGGCTAAAGAAGCAGATGTGAGGCTTGGTAGAATTGCTAATCATTTAACTTTTTATATAGTAGCTAATTAACAGTTCACTTTAAGAACACATATTTGTTTTATTTTGTTGGGTTTTTTTAATTGGAGTCTCACTGTTGCCCAGACTGGAGTGCAGTGGCACGCTCCTGGCCACCACAGGATCAACCTGCTGGACTCCGGAGATCCTTTGGCTTCAGCCTTCCAAGTAGCTGGAACTACAGGAGCACGATACCATACCCGGCTAATTTTTTATTGTGGAGATGAGGTCTCGCCAAGTTGCCCAGGTGGGTCTCGAACCCGCGGGCTCAGGCGATCCACTCACCTCAACCTCCCAAAGCACGCGATTCCAGGCTGAGCTACCGAGCCCAGCTAAGAACACATATTACCACTTGAACATCATTACATGTATATTTCTTCCTTCAAGGGCTACATAAGTAGTAAGCTTAATCATTCACCTTTATTCTGAGAGAGGCATGAAGTAGCTTTACTACTTATCTTGTGCCTCTAAACAGAGGAGGTTTCTATATTTATAGATCTTTGCTGTGTCTGCATCTTACTGACTTCTCTTGTTCTTAGAAAGCTAAATAGATCCTCATCTGTGTTAATACATCAATCATGTCGTGCTCTTTTATAATGTGTGTATATATACAGATGTGTGTATATATGTGAATGCTTGTTAAGCAGATGAGTGTATATTTGGTTTAAGTCAAGAATATTTTCCAGTTTTTGCTTCAATATGTCGCTGCACTCCATATCAATTCAAAAGTTAAAAAAATACATTCTTTTATGACAGTAAATCAATATCTATCATGCATGATTACAAGCCTCTCAATATTGAATGCTTTCAGTTGAACATAACTGAGGTAATTACTCCTTTCTAGGAGGAATAAAAGAATAAGAAGGAGGAATAAGACAACATTTGCCTGAAAATTTACCTTCTATAAAGGCCAAATAATTGAAATCAAGACTTTTCTCACATAATAATCTTCTTTCCCTAAATCTCTCTCACCCCCTCCCAGATTCTCAAAATCATTGTAGGTAAATAAGGAAAACTTGAGAACAGCTGGGTTTGTGGTTCATGCTGACTTTAAGTTACATAAAGGTAAATGCAAAATTCATTTATGTTACAGTCTGTCATTTCAGGTATTTCAGCTGTGTGAAGACAACTTCTTACGTATATAATGTAACAGACGAGGTCGGAAAATACAAACATACCGACGTGTGGACCATATTAAGCAAGATGAACATCTCTGGAAGCAGTTGTGGAAGCCCTAGTTCTGCAGATATTTCTAATGACTTTAAGGAGCTTTGGACAAAACTAAAAGAGTGCCATGATAAAGAAGTACAAGGTAAAAGCTTTTCTTAAATACTTACAGCACAATTTTTTTGAGACTGTAGTGTAATAATTAACTTTGTATGACAATTTTATATATTTATAGAAGAAAGAAATGAACTTAAGTTCAAAGATCTCATTTTTAAAGGACAGTTGCTACTGTAGTTGTTTGTAATTCATGTTTGTTGTTGAATTGTTACTTTTTAACTACAGACAGCTACAACAGGACATAGATCTTTTACAAATTGTAGTTACTTGTGGTAATATATATGAGGTAGTGGAAAAGGTATATAATTTGTTGACTGAAGACCTGAATTTGAATTCTGATTTCATTTACCTACTTGTTCTGTGATATAAGCCTCTAAATTTAATTTTCTTCTGTAAAATTCTTTGCAGGATTATTTATAAACATAAAAATACTAAAGTCATTTGACAAACCTTTGGGAATCTATTTGCTGCTAAACACTGAAATACAAACATGAATGACAGTTTACTTTCATGGAGCCTACAGTCTAATATATTTTTATCTGTAAACTGATAATTACAGTACAGTGAAATAAGAACTGAAAGGTTTATATGAAGTACAGTGAATGTACAGAGGACTGAGCAGTTGTGGTTGGGATGATAAATATTATTGGAAATATGGGATGATAAATAATATAAATATTATTTGTGTTAAAAATTACTTCATGTGATGGAATTTTCTATTAAAGCTAAGCCCGAGTTTTGATATGAAGTTTTAATGTACACTAATTCTGCAACTTTAATATTATACACTTTTCCAGTGTGTGGGAAATGCTTCATATTACATTTGTTTCTTGATTACTTATAGGTTTAATACTACAGTGTTTTATAGCTTTACCATTACGCTGGAGTGCCATTAAAACATGACCTAGGCCGGGCTCGGTGGCTCAGCACTTTGGGAGGCCGAGGCGAGTGGATTTCCTGGCCCCTCGGGTTCGAGACCAGCCCAGGCAACTTGGCGGGACCTCGTCTCTATAATAAAATAAAAAATTAGCTGGGCATGGTAGTGCACGCCTGTAGTTCAGGCTACTTGGAAGACTGAGGCAGAAGGATCCCCGGAGCCCAGCAGGTCGACACTGGGGTGGCCATGAGCATGCCACTGTACTCCAGC